CAGGGTTGATGAAGGGAGAGGGGAACCCTGCTTCTCAAATTCTCTCTGGTTTTCACTCCACTGTCTCAAGCTTCTCCCATTCTTGTTTTCCATATTTAGTTCAGTTCATTTTAATTTCTATTCCTTGGGCTCCCTCTGCCCTCTCCCCCACATCTGATAGAGTATATGTCCCAAGTTGATTAAATTTGAGCCATGGGCATAGGTACACGTTTGTGAGACTAATCACCCGTGAAAACAACAATTATCACAAAAAGAGAAATAAATTATTCCTCCAGCATTTGCAAAGACTATTTGGATCAGTGACATAATTTCAAGCAGAACAGTAGACGCTAATTTCTATCTCCAATTCCCAACATGCTGTGTGTTCTTGTTTATCAAAGCTGTGAACTGAATTATTTTATTTGAGGACTGGCTATTGTGGGCAGCAAAGAAATATTAGTTTAAACTGGAGTCACAGACCTAAAGCTGAAAGAAAAATAAATCAGAGAGAGGGAGAGAAACTGGATAATGTAGGATCACTTCACTCTGAGTCAATCCTGGTTGGGGTTTTTCCCCCCTGGTGACTATTAAGGACAGGCAGAGATCTTAACAGATCAGTGTTCACATTCCAATGGGCAGATTTGGGCTTTTTAAACTATTAATATGATAAACTGCTAGGGAGGTAGCAAGAGAATAAGTAGATAGAAAAATAAAAGGAGTGATCATATTTTTCTTTCTTCCCCCCTTCCAGCACTGGTATTAGAACAACTCCGTGCATACCATATGTATAGTCATTTACTGTGACTAATGGGAATAGTGTACTACATTTCATAATACTGATCTCTTTGGCAATTTGAGAACAACTCATAACTGACTGACTATACATACTATCTAAAAATACTTATCACAACAAATCCTTAAGCAAAATAAATTTTTAAAAAAGAAAATACCTTTTAGAGGCTTTCTAGAAAAGCAAAAGAACTTTTGAGATTGCTAAGAAAAAAGTCTGCCCTCTCCCCTTTCCTGTTGGGGTAAACGCTTAATCCCCTCAGATGTTTTCCCTGCTGAATGCTTGTCTTACGTGCAGTTTAAGATGGTATTTAAAATTTTCAAAATTCCTTCTACAAGTGTATTCCTATTTCCTCCAAAATTGAGCTCAAACTGATGTTAGAAACTGGCACAGATGTTAGAAATTCCATCTTCATTTCAGAAAGGACCAAATATGAATGTGAGCTAATGTCGGCTTTTTTAGCAAATTCTTATTTCCTCCCTGATTCTGGATGTAATTGTCAGCATGCTCATCAAAGTGGGTGGACATCATAGACAACTTGTCTGAGTATCACTCCCTAATAGCTACCTGAGGCTCCTTCCCGATGCAAGATGTCTGCAAAATTAGAGAAGAGTCTGTCTATCCTAAGTCGGGGGAGCACTTCTCTGAAAACACAGACAGCCAATGTTCTAACTCTATGCAGAAGACTATAAACTCTAGAAATCAAAGCTGGATTTATGTTTTCATAAGCCACAAAAACTTACATGCAGGTGACCCTAGCGATCAAATGCTAAATCAAAATTTTTTTCTATTTTCATAATTGTTTTTTATGCTTATAAAACTTATCTGGAAAAAATAAGTTGTTTATACCTAAATATGCAACCTGATATCATATATATATTAGCCAGAAATATTTTGCTGCAAATCAAACAATTTGGGAAAATCACTTCATAAAAGGTGTGTTCGTTTGTTTGGTTTCTTTTTATCATAATTAGAGGCACACTTTAGAGTTTCGTCTGACAGCAACCTTCAACATTTCACACAGAATTAAGGGGCTCCTTTTTCATTCTGATGAGAGTTTTAAAGCTTGCAACCTAAAATTTAGATTTCTGATGTTCATCAAGGTTAGTAAACAAGTTTTTATCAATCAAGGATTAGGTTTGTTTTTAAAGCTCACAATTAAAACAAATAATTTTTAAAATAAAATATCATGAATGTTTGAGGAGATAAATCCTTATAAAACATCCATCGACACATACCAGTCAGTTTTCTTCTGCTAGTATGAAGAAAATATGTATCTTTTTAAGCTCTCAAATTATTCTGATTTCCTAACTCATCCCAAATAGCCTCTTAAGGTGTTGTTTATATTTCTTGTTGCCTCCATGGCCTTAATAGCTCCCCATTGGCCAATGTGAATGCACATTTAAAGTAAAAGCCTCCAAGATATTAGTTACATGCGTCTATAACAAGGCAGATAATCTTTACAAGTAATGCTAATATTGGCTAGGGGCGGTGGGCTAACAGGAGTAGAAAGGGTCTGGAGGATTCTTAACTGAAGCTGAGAATACAGTGATAAGAAAACTAAATGTACCTGATTAGAACAAAAGTACTCCAGAGAAATTAACTCTAAATGCAGCACTTCATAAGTATTAAATACTGGCTTCCATAAAACAACACCAAAATCAGTCTCTATCATCATACTTCATGTGTTTAGTTACTTAAATATAGGATATAGCAGCACTCTAACTATCAAATATAACGTATGTGAATAGGAATCGTTACTATGGTTTTACCAAAGCCATTGACTTTTTACCTAAAATGAAAGTCATTACCAATAGAAGTCAGTAAACCTAGACACTAAGAAGTGAAAAAAATTTAGTAATCCTTAAACGCTATGCAACATGAAGAAGATGTCTCCATCATTTTGAAAGCGATCAAAACTTCTCTTAGGAATTACATAATGACCTCACTAAAATAACTAGAAAAAAAATAGAGGTTCCATAATAACATTTTAACTGCATTCCTAGAAGAGAATTCCACCCAAAGATCTAGCTCACAGAATCCCCAAATCAATAGGAAGAAAATTCATTTTGCAGCTGGGCGCAAAACCTCCACTCTACGTTTTCTTAAAGATGGCTGACACAAACACAACCTCGGTAACTACATAAAAATGGTTGCTCAGATTAAATTATGCAAATGTAGTTTCAAAATAACCTGCTCAAGTTTCGAGGCATTAAAGATGGACCTGCAAAGCATCTGTGATATTACGCCTGGCTCCAGCGGAATTTCATTGGGTACTGAGGAAGGCACAAACTCCAAATCGTCCTTATAAAGAAAGACTGAAACATCAGCACACAGACATCAAATCCTATGGACACATTCACGGGCACTGGACCTGGTCCCTGAACACTGATCTGTCACCAACGAAAAACAAGACAGAACTATTAAGCGCTTTGAGGTCTTCATCCTGGTATGCAAGCAGAAGGGGCCATCTTTGAAAAGTTCAATCTTACCCCTTAAAATGAAATATTCCAGAAGTGAAATTTTCAAAATGTGTGATTCACTTAAAGGGTAAATTATTTACGATATGAGGTTATTAAAATATGCTTTAAATGATCTATTTCCCACAAACGATCTTTATTTTCAACCTGACAGCAATTCATAATCGGACACCTATCTACAAAAATTTTTCTGGAATATAAAGTTTCTAGTTTCCTTCTGCTTAAAAGTGAGTGATTAAAAAAAAAAAAAAAAAGCAAGGCGATTACAATACCAATGCAATTTCAATAAACTTCATATGCAGCCTAATTTCAAGACACTGGTTCAGTAAGAAGTACATCAGGTGTTTCCAAATTAATAATTGGTCAAATGGGATTTTTTAGTAAGTAAACTTCATATTTTAAATCATTTTTAAGAATGACGTATATAAACTATCAATCACGTTTAATATCAGCTGAAATAATTTGCAAAACAATAGAAAAGGAATAATAATATGAAATATTATCATTTTCAAATAGTAGGAAGCTGTTAGTAGTCAAAAGTTATATAAAATATCAAATTAAAGCAAAAACTTGGCACAAACGGAGATTTAGTATTCCACCAGTCAAAAATACGGGACCATTTTGTTCTGAAATGTGATAGCTGCGTTCTTTAATGTTAAACTTCAGTTTTCACTATTCTCTTACTCTTAAGTCAGTCTTCAAAACAGTAAGCATTTAACTGCTATTTACTTCCATTTGCACCCATCACTGGTTATTTCTCTTGCTACATGTTTGTAAGTTTACATAAGTCAAAGCATCAATACAGCAGCGGAGAACCTCTGCTCTGCTCCATAGAATAAATTTTGCAGTTTTGTGTGTATTTATCTAGTTTTGTCAGTCTCCAGGAAGCACTCCTCATTCCCCTTCCTACACTTCTCAAACTACTTTTGGGTACTTGGTGACAAACTGAGTAAACCCTCAGGAGAATAAAGATCCTTCAAACAAACCAACACTCTAGGCCTAAAACTGTCCAACAAAACCTCAAAACGAAAACAAAACATCACCGTTTTACTTTTACCTCCCCCAAATGGGCTGAAGGAGCCTCTGGGGCCTATGAACCACCCCCGACCTACTCACGCATTGGCAAGGCCGACTCTGAGGATTCGGGACCCAAGTCCCACGGTTCACCCGAGTCACCAGATGGTAACATTAATGGACAACCGTGGCGCAGCTGAACTCTTCGCAAGGGTCTCTTGAAAAGAGTCTACACTTTCAGGGCAAAGCAAAATACGTTGTTTGCAAACGCTCACGTCCCATTTCACCCCAGTGTCACCGGTCGGCTTCAGGGGCACCACCACGCGTGGTTTCGTTCTTGGCGGCATTTTACTTACACACCCTCACGTGCGCGCACACACTCACGCACGACCCTCCACACGTCCCAGAGGCCTCTTGGGACTAGAAAGATGAAATATAGTCTCTGGGCCATTTCCTCCCAGTCTGAACTACTTTAGTTCAAAATATCCAGTAACATCCCTGAAGGGAAGAGAAAGGAGATAAGGAAAACAAAATTATTTCCCCCAGATAACTAAGCTCTCTTCTCCCCAACCTCACGAACAGCCAGAATGACACCGACTCTGCCGAGACAGGGGACAGGAAAACTTCAAACGCAAGGGGGCCGAGCGAAGTTCAGCAGAGACAGGAGATGAAGCCACAAAGGGGGCACCCGGGGCGTGTCCCCAAGCGCAGCCCCGCTCCCTGCCCCCTCCTCTTACTTTTGGATGATCCGGGGAAGGCCGGCTGGGGGCGGGGGCGGGGGCGGCGGCGGCAGCTGCATCCCCCGCGGGCCCGCGGGTGCCGGGGCCGCCTGGGCACCGGGCACACTGCAGGCATCTCTGTCCGCTTGCTCCGGAGCGTTGGGGTCCGCGTCCTGGCTCATGGCTGCTGCTGCCAGCACCCTGCGGGCGAGCCCGGCCCGGGATCGCGGCGAGAGAGCGCACGGGAGGGGCGGTCCCGGGGCACAGGCGCTCACTGGCCGGGGTCCCCGTGCCCAGTCCCCTTGTCC